AGAAGGCTAGTTCACGTGTTGCTTCTAAGCTGATTTTTGCTGTCATTTTATCATAAAATTTCAGAGGGAAATGATGTATGCCCTTTTGTATCTCCTGACTTTGTCTTTTAAGAATAACACCTTGTTTCTTTCTCACTAGAGACCTTGTTCCTTTTTAGCACGTGGCAGTCACATATTGTTTATAAGTCACATAGCTTTCTAAAGCAAAGTCTCATCACTATTTCTTGGCAGCAGTAGAGATTTTTTTTTTACATTTTTTTTTTGTTTGTTTATTTATGCTTTTCCCCAAGAACATGCACTGGATGGTCTTTGTTCCCAGTGACTCATTATTGAAGAACAAACAAGGGCAAAAAAGAGGGAGGAAAGGGGGAGAAAGCACAACAACCTGCTGGGGATCCCTATGACTGCACCCTACCTTGCTACAAGTTGCACCTTGTATCACCCTGCTTACTTCCCACCTGGAAACCCTCACCTGCTTCTTCTGGTCCTGCTATGGGACCTAGAATGGGCACTCTCCAAAAGAAAGGGGAGAAAATGAATCTAAAAATCATTCTGATCTAGATGGAGTGGAGTTATGCTAACATATGAAAAGAAAAAGGGATTTGGGAGCCCACCTGCCATTGCAGATACTACAGCAGTAAGGCAGAAATTGCTGTGGAGGCAGGATGAAAAACTGGCAGATCAGAGCAGAGAGTTTTTAAGAGTTTTACAATTGTGTTACTAGAGAGGTAGCCTTTAAACATCTGGTGATTTCCAAAACAAATGTTGAAACAGAAAAAGAGGCATGGTCCATCACAACATCGTCGCTTGCAATCACTTGAGAGAAACAAAATATAATCTTTGTGTGTCTTACCTTCCACTGAAAAAGTAAATCTGCATTTTTTGTTGTATTTGTTAAAAGCTCTGAGGCACCTCAGGAGATGAATATAGCTGCTGTGGTTTTGGGTTCCAGTTTACAGCTTTCTGCTCTTGATAGTATTGTAGTGGGGCTTGTGAGCCTTTTCTGCTGTGCCTCTTTTCCATACAGGACATGTTTATATGTATGTGGTGAAGGGTTTATATGACCTCAGAAGGAACAGTGGGTTCACAGTAGGAGGGACAGGAAGATGAGTTCCCTTCAGATACCTGTGTTTTGGTTTTTTTAAAGCATACTTTACCTGTGCTTTCGGAGGTGTAGCTCCCAGCAGAGGGAAAGTGTAATTTCATAGCATTCTGAAGTCAGTATCATCAGTTAAAAACTATCTTACCTGTGTGGAAAACGAGTCTAGAAAAGCTGTGGTTATTTAGGACATTGTGCTCTCCAATGTTTCCAGTGAATCATTCATCTTAAATATATTTATAAATAAAACTTACAAAGCTAAAAATGTAATTTGGAAATCTGTTAAGAATAATCAGGCTCAAAAACTCCTCCTGGACTTTTTGTGGCAGGTACCTGAACCTATAGGGAGAGTGATTTGTTTCTTTGCTGCTGTACCAGGAAACATTTAGTGAAACTGGTATTTCCCTTGTTCCTCTCTATTTAAGGTTCCCCATTTTTTATTTTTTGCAGTTTTCTTTCTTTATCCACACTCCTCATATATCTAGCTTTTTTAATTCCCTTTTTCTTAGCTTTTCCCTGAACTCATATTTCTTTTCACTTTCCCATTCCCAGTATTTTTACTGGTTTTCCTTTTCTTTTGAATGTTTTCCATCTTTCCCTCAGAGACTCGCTACTGAAATTCCTTCACAAACCCCTGTAATCCTTCTTGCAGTGGTTCACTAGCCACATTTCTAGCTGAAATCTAGAGATATTACAGAAGTTCCTGCACAAGAAAAGTTGCCAGGGTTTATCTACCTGTGGTTCGAATATCGAGTCGTTGCATTTCTGCTTTCTGATTACCTGAGATTTTTGAGAGATTTTGATGAACAATCTCTCTGTCTACTAAGCAGTGTTCAAACTATAGGGTATACAAGTATTCATGTAATTTTCATATTTGCACAATCAGTAGTCTCACTCAGCAATTGGTATTTCACTAATAATATCCAAACAAACATAATTTCCCAAATTATAGAAAATTCAGACAAAAAATATGCTTTAAGGTTTGTTGTGGTCTGTTGGAGGATATCAAATACTTAAGAGAATAAATGTTATTTTTGTTAATTTGAGGATTAGTACTCCTACCAAGTTTCAATTTACATGGGTACAAAAACAAGTAAGTAAAAAATAATTCATTGTTTTGGTTTTTTTTCCCCCTAAGGCTATTACTGTTATACAGTAGTATATGGTAGCTTGGTACTACATAACACCAAAAGTTTAACTTTTGGTTGATTTTTAAGGTAATATTTTTTGGTGTCTTTCTAGCACATTCTGAATTTTGAGATATACTCTTCCAACAGTTAATAGGTAAATTGCTCTGTTAGAGGCGTCTGTGCCAATACAAGTTGGTGCATTTGGTCCTTCAGCTCCCAGGAACCTGTGAAAGACAGGGGCACCAGCCCATGCTGTTTTGGGCTGGTTCCTCCAGCCTGCAGTCCTTCAGCTTCAAAAGCAAATGAGACAGCAAATAACATTTGTTGCTGTTGCGTTGAGTACTCACAGACTGAAATGTGCCATTTCCAGACATTACACACCAGTACAAACCCCATTATATGTGTTACATGTTACCCAGAGAGGAACTCTTAATTCTGGTTTGCTGTCCATAGTTGCTACAGATACACTTATAAGAAGTCTTCCTACAGGATCTGTAAATCAAAAATTACCTTTTAGCTATGCCATAATTTAAAGCAATGTAAATACATAAAAGTAAAGGTCTGCGCATTGTTGGTAATGCACATGACTGCTTGCTGTGTTATGTACAGAATGATCCATATGCCACCCATACTGAAACTGGTTATTAAATATGCTGGCTCAGTTTACTGGTAGCTCTAATACACTTCTGTAACGAGGCACTACTTGTAACATCAAAGCAGGGGAGACATTAGCTCTTTTCCCCTATAGCCTCTGACCTGAAAGCTTTGCTTTTTATCTCTGTATAAAAGGAAAATATTCTTTTCAAAGAAGCCTGGATAGAATGTGGATATTTTCTCCCCTGTAGAATAAGAGCCTGTGAAAGTAATCTACAATTTTTCATCTTTTTTCAGAGTATTGTTTCTTTTTGGACATCATGCCTCTTTGAGAGTTAAAACTCTTGCTTTCAAGTAATAGTGACTGGGAGTGGAAGTGCTTTCAAAATCCTGATGTACCTCTGTTTTCTGTAACCCTGTCAGCCTGAAGAAAAGTGATGGAACATTTCTATTTTTGAAAGAGCAATATATTGTGTAAGAGAAAGAAAATAAAGTTTGAGAAATAGTTCTTACTCAAAATAATGGGTAAGATACAAATCCAATCAATTTTACACAGGGTTTGTAAGGGAGCCAACTTTTGGCAAATCAAAACTGTATTTTATCTTGCAGATGTTTCCACTTATTTTTTAAAAATAAAAATAAAAATCATATAGGAAGTAATTTTCTCAAGTGTATTTGAACTTTTAAATGGATTGGATCATCTTGTCTTCTGACCTTTAAGTATCAGGTTTTTTTGTGTAATCTAGCTTGCCTTGTTTCAGTTCAACATTTTAGGATTCTTGACCTTTTGGCTTTTAGATTCTTAAGTTGAGCTGTCTTAGAGAGGGTTGGTCTTCAGAAAGAGCTAAGTATACAATGCCAAAATTTTTTTCTGCTGTATGATCTACACAATTACTTTTGAGTATCTTATCACTTGCTCAGAGGCAATCTCAAGGAAAGGACTGCTGACTTAAACAAACATAGGTACAGTAAACAGAAAAAGGAAGACCAAACATAAATGAACATATCACAAGTTGTTAGTATTTTGCTCTTATAAAAATATTTCAATCCTAAATTTTAAATTATCTTCCAAATAATTTCTAAACTCACGACCACTGATTATATTACAGGTAGTGTAGAGTTCCATACTAGCATTATCTGGACTCCAATCTTTCTAATATGATTTAAAATGTCTTTTTCTATCTGTGTTCATTGCAATGGCTCTTTCCTAGAATCCAAACAGGAAACAGAAGAATCATCTCTTTTCTGCAATAGCTGGCTTCTGAGATGGCATTAAGCGTTATTCAGTCTATGACACTTAACTCACAGTGGTGTTAAGTCAGTGATTAATTCAATGAAAACTCATTGATTTTTGGATGCTTTAGGCAGGCTTTCTTATAAATATGAATAGTTTTTTGAGGTGGGTGTTTTGAAATTTAGCCTGGGCTTAACTGCTTTTCCACACCCTTCCTAAAAATTGCTTAGCCAAAGGAAGTGTGACACAGTCCAATTCTGATATAGTGGCATAATTAAAAAGAAAATAAAGCTTCTCCATTTTCTCTGTAAGACTTCATATGAATAAATAAATTTCAAACTTTCTTCTGCTGGAAAAAAATTAATCCCTGGTTTGGGTTTTTAATTAAGGTACATAATTTCATGATACTCACAGAAGTGCAGACTAGCATATACTTTTAAGCATAAATACTTTTATTTACAGAGTAAGACAGAACAGCATTAGTGTAGGCTTTAAAAAATGTTGTATTACTTTTTGTTTTTAATGTATTGTTTTTCTTTGGTTTTTGACTGTAGCAGAGAAACATTTTTCTTGCAGAGTTTTCTTAATAGGAAGCACGTATTTGTTCTTAAGTTATACATATTTTATCATGTTCTAGAGGTAGTAGGAATTATGTCCCTAAAATACTTCCCAGGAATTTTTTAAGCAGAAATGTAAAAAGGAGAAGAGAACTGAATTTATGGGTTGTTTGGTTTTGGTTTGGTTTTTTTCCCCCAGATTGTAATAATTAATAATTTAGAAATATCAAAATGTTTTCAAAACGTAAATATAAGTAAATTATGCATTAAACTTGTAGAGCTAGTTAGAATAATCTGAAACCATCTGCCAAAAATGAGTATCTTAGCTTACATTCAACTAATATGCCAGCTTATGGTTACTTACATTTTACTCCTGTTTGCCACAGGTGAAGTGGGTGAATATCAGACAGCTCATTATAGAGACATGCAAGCTGCATTCCCAAAGTAGGATGACAGAACAAGTCATGGTATGTATTGTAATTTCAGTTCTACAATACATCTTCAAGCTGTCTGAGGTAAAATGCTTACTAAGCACTGCATTGGGGCTGTCAGATTTCTTCATGGGGTGGTAATTAAATTGAGGCAGCTCTATCGTTTATTTTGTGGAACTAAGCCAGAATTATCTGTATCCTAAAAATATTCTGCTGTAGACTGCTGGTTGTAGCAGGAGCACAATTTTTTGCATATAAATTCTTTTTTATGGTAAACATCCTATTTCTCTCTGGTTTTTCCCACCTCCATAGGTTATGGGGGAGGAGATGGTATTTTGCTTAACAATGCAGACATTTGGGCTGGATTCCAGTTGTGACTAATAAGGATAAAGGATTGATGGTCCTTGTGGCCAAAGGTGGCTTTAAAGTTTCCTGCCTGATTTACAGTGTTCTTAGCCCTGGTATAATTTAGAATAGCCTGGGGTCCAGTCAGCCATGGCTGGCTACTGCCTCAAAAATAAAGCTGAATGCATGTGAGGATTCAATGTGATAAATGCTTCTTTTGGTCATTTCGGGAGACCAACTTCATTATTAAAACACACAGGAGATGCTGTGCTGGGTCGGACCAAGGGTTCCGGCAGCTCAACAGCGTGTCTCTGCCAGCACTCTGGCATTCTGCTATGAAAATCAGAGCTATTCCAAAGTGACCCTACCTCAAAAATAGTGCTCAGGATGTAGTGTCTTCTCCATACTGTCATTCATGTTCTTCCTGAAAGAAGGCAGTGGGAATTGCAGATAACTTTAATGATATAGGTGGATTTATAGAGCATCATGATTATGTTCTTGTCTTCTTATCTGCTTGCTTTCTAGTGAATCTAACCTTTCTGAAACTTGTAAGTTACCTAAAAACTATGGTGAGATAGGAAGCACAACTGAAACTAGTTGAATATCAAAAGTACATGGAACTCATATAACTGCAAATTTGATTCCAAAGGTATTTTTTAAGATTGGAAAGGGTGGGGCTGATGTGTAAAGGAGGCTCTCATTGGACAAGTTTCCTATGATGCACAAATGAGTTTATTTTATAATTCAACATCCTTTAGAAAATTGTTTGGATTGGGTTCAGTTGATTTAGTCAGACAGTGAGAACAAAAACTGGGGAGGAAATAACATACAGATGCAAAACAGTTTTCAAGTGTACAGTGTGGAAGAACTGTTAATGGATTATCTGGAAATAAATGAAATCTCCCGCAAAAGCTATAGTTTAATTTTTTACTTTTTTTAAGGAATGGTGGTGGATATGAATACATTATGAGAAATGCTGAAACCCACAGTTTACTTGAAAAAAATGTGTCAAAATGGTTGTCATTTTCCAAACTGAAATAAATAAATATATGGAAGTACTTAAATCAGTGTCCAATAAATAGCTACATTAAACAGAAAAGTATTACATAAGAAAGAAGTTGGAAAGTGTGGGCTTTATTCATGGGCTCTCCATTGCTTGGGCTCTTCCTATAGTCAGAAAAAAGAAAAAGGTATGGATTCCTATGGGGGAATTCACAATAAGAATCTGAATTAACTTGGCTCTCACTTTGAAGCACAATTTGTCATCAAAGGATATTGTGACAGAAGACAGTGCAACTGTTTCATTAAGAGCATCTCTTATACCATTCTCTATGAAAAAAGCTTTTTGTTGTTGAAAGATGTGATTTGCCATTTTAAAAACATATATGTATGGATGTGACTCAGATATCTTGTACATTACAAATATTTTTTTTTGAGATTAATTTTCCTTATTAATTTATATTTTCTCCATGATTATTGAATTTTGAAACACATTATCTCCTAGCTTATTTGTATTTTCTTTTACCTTTGGTAAACCATGCTATATACATGTCCACATGCTTTACTTTTACTGCAGGTTTTTTCTGGTTCCCTTGTCATATTTACTTCATTCTGTTTGATCTACCATACTTAATGAACAACAGTTTTCACTTAGAATAATCTTTATGCTTGTTCAAATTTTAACTAGGATATTGTGATGGTATTACTGATGTTACACTAAGTCCCTCATCCTGCAAAGGCTCATTCATGTTTCTCACTCTGCACAATCTGAGCAGTCCCACTGGAGTTCAAGAGTTACACACAAGAGCATAAAGCTTTGTGTCCTAATTGCTTTTAGTGGACTCATTTCCAGTATCACAAAGCCCCATTTTAGGGACCGTTGCTTAGATCTGAAAATGCACACTTCACTGGAAACTATTGTAAAAATATGTCCTCAGCTGGAACCTGGAGAACAGAATTTTAATCTGGAGTAAATTAAGCCTATATCTTGAGGGATACATCTTGACCAGCAGCATTTTATGACTATCTGACAATCTTTTGTACTCTTGAAACATAGAAATGGCTTTATTTCTGTGCTTATGTTTTCACAGTTGCAGTTCATATCACAAAGCATGAGGCAGTGAAAGCAGTGCATTTGATTTTGTCCCCCCACTCTTCTGTTCTGAGGAAAGTAGCTAGAATAACAGGCATTAGAAATTAGAAATTAATTATTAGAAATTAGAAAGCTAATTACTTAGCTTTCAGCCAAATTGTGTATGAAATTTTAGTCTGTAGACTCATTGCGCCTATGTCAGCCTGAAGATTAAAGGCTTCTTAACTACATAGTGGCACAACAGCTGAGCAAGCTGTGACAGAGCCAGTGGGGTTTGTTGTATAGTAACTGGTCTGTGGATCACTGGAAGAGTCTGGATTTCTGTGTCCAATGCAGGCAAACAGAAGTCTACCTTCTTGTCTCTGTCTGTTTCAGTAGATCACCGTGTATCACTGGGGATTTCAACGTAGCTGACACAATTTCTGCTAATATTCATTGACATGGTAGATGCACAGACCCCAATAAAGTTAATGTTTAGCCATCCCTGCTTTTGGCAGCATGCTGCAGCTTACTAATTAATTTGGTTGCTGTTTGTGCTTTTTTTCTTACCACTGTGGATATAATCAATGGCTATCAGATGTTCTACAGTCAGGAAGACAGCTGCGAAAATGTACTTTGGAGTTATATTGAGATTATCCTTCAAGTTTCATTATTAGCATGAAAATAGCAAAAATATTAGCAAAAGTATTCTAATGCATTTTTAAATAGAGAGCTTATAAGCAATGGACTGTATCCTCTTCCATTGGAGGTATCCTAAACAGAACGAAGCAAAAGTAAATCAATGTCAGATAATTTTGCTTTCTTGACTTGGGACAGCCAAAACTTTCTTCAGCTGTACCAGACTGCCATCTTGGCTTTCCATCATGGAAATTCAGAATGCCAATCTTCAATTACGCTTTCTCACTGTTTCCTTGTGTCACTTATTTCTTCTGGCAAACCTATCATTTGCATCTGATTTGAAATAATTAATATCTGGTTCTAACCAGTCTGTGAGTTTTGCTAGTTGTTTTTTCTTTGCTTGGAAATGAAATTAGGTCAATTCCATTTTACTTCATATAACATGCAAATGAATTAGATGGTGTAAACATTACTGCTCTAAGCTAGAAGACTGATCATCTGGAGACCTCAACATGCCCTCAGATTGGAGAAAGGAAGGTTCCTAGGAAGTTCACCTTCTCAGTTAGTATGAAAAAATTATTTTTGATATATAGGTTTGATTTCCTTTTCTATTTCTTGAAGATGTCATCTCTAGGGTCCTGAGTTGAGGGAGGAAGAGAAGAACAAACAGATTTATAATTCATGTCCTTTTTTTGTGCCTAGAGTGTCAGAAAGAAGTGAAGATGGATGGATTCAATGGGTGCAATGGGTACAGTCTTCTTGAAAATACTGTCCTCCCACATTCATTTTCAAAATATTGATGATTGGATAATGTTTCAAAGAACCAGCTTTTAACAAATACCGTCAATGCAAGTGATGGTGATAAGAGCTCAGTGGATAAACAAGCTTGGAAGAATGTTTTGAGGAGTAAGGGACATACTATGATGGATGTCATGGAAGGTAATGGCAAATGGCAAATTTGACTTCAGTAGAACAGAAGTCCATATTTTGTATGTTTTAAAACAAAGAGGTAGCAAGGAATAGTCCGTGGTACTCTCAAGGTTTAATGTCTTCTCTGAATCACTGCTGATATTAGGTCGTGTGATCCATTTAGTGTCCCTGTGCCCCTTATGCTATTTGCCCAGTAAGGCTGATCCAGAAAGGGGATTAGAAATACTCTAGGCACCACTGCATTTTAAAATTTCTTTAAATGAAATCAGAGGGTGTTTTTTCCTAATAGTTACTTTCCAGGCAGAAATCAATTAGTCTAATAGCGTTACTCTTCTCCAAAATGGAATTGTACTGGACTGGTTTGATGTCTTCTTATAATTGCACACGGTATGGTTCTTTGGCTCTTATCTCTCCCTCTGTCTGTGAATTTGAAACCATCAGGAAGATGTCACATTGGTATGAGTATTCTTCAGTGATAAGAACAGTAATTGTTGTAGGGAGACTTCTTAATCTTGGGTCACTCAAATCCCTTTTAAAGACAGCAGGTGCTCTCCAGAACAAGCATTAACAAGAAGAGATTATGAGGTAACCTGTTGTTCTTTATATCTCAGCATCTCTTGACAAAGCTTACCATCAGGCACTGTGTTCAGAAGCCAGTCAGTACAGGAAAAAAAATCAAACATGACTCAGGAAGGAACTAACGTTTTCAGTACTAAAGAGCAGATTCATTTTAAAGGGTGAATACTGAGAAGTGTTACAGGGAAATTTATATTTAGATAACTATATGAGTAAATAATAAAAGCAAGAAATAAATTGGCAGAGGCTGAAAAAACAGAGCTGCAGATAACCATGGTATATTGCAATCAGAAAAAAAGTTGTTTCCTCAGAAATCAAAATCTGAAACTGCATCTTGCCAGATTTGCACTGTGTTGAAATTCTTTGTACATTGTATCCCTCATATTCTTCCCATGGCAAACACGGTGAAAGCAAGTTAGTCATTCATATTGTCAGACTCTGGCACTGCTAACAGTATGACTTCATACAGATGTGC